AATTTTGAACTCTTAGTTTAAAGAAAGAAGAAAATATTTATTAATATTAGTAATGGGGAAGCACTATTAATTATATTAATAGGGAAGGAACCGATTAACATTCGTTTGCAGACAACTTTTGTTCAATTTATATCGAGTAGATTTTTCTTGTTTTATTCAGGTAAAACATACATTTTCTGTATTTGTAAATGCATTCTAAAATACAGATTTCCTGTAACGGTACAGACTATTCCTTCAGTTTTGGGCTTTATTAAAGCTGTCCGCTCGCTATGGCATTAGACTCTAACTTCCCGGTCGTAAATAATCATTAGTTTTGTTGGGGGACAGGTGTATATATATATATATATATATATGTCGTACCTAGTAGCCAGAACGCACTTCTCAGCCTACTATATGCAAGGCCAGATTTGCCTAATAAGCCAAGTTTTCATGAATTAATTGTTTTTCGACTACCTAACCTACCTAACCTAACCTAACCTAACTTTTTCGGCTACCTAACCTAACCTAACCTATAAAGATAGGTTAGGTTAGGTTAGGTAGGGTTGGTTAGGTTCGGTCATATATCTACGTTAATTTTAACTCCAATAAAAAAAAATTGACCTCATACATAATGAAATGGGTAGCTTTATCATTTCATAAGAAAAAAATTAGATAAAATATATTAATTCAGGAAAATTTGGCTTATTAGGCAATTCTGGCCTTGCATAGTAGGCTGAGAAGTGCGTTCTGGCTACTAGGTACGACATATATATATATATATATATATATATATATATATATATATATATATATATATATATATATATATATATATATATATATATATATATAACACCTTAGGCTTTCATCACAGTTCCTCCTTAGGTCGACCTACTGACCTTTCCCACGTTGTAACCCCCACAACAATTGCCTAACTCCCGGGAACCTATTTTCTGTTAGGTGAACAGAAAAGAATTGGGTGATAGGAGACGTGCCCAACCTATTCCGTCCCTCGACTCGGGATTCAAACCCGGTATCCCCGCATGTGAATCGAGAATGTAACCGGGATCCTACGAGACCCCCATTGACGTCCTGGTCCCCCTACATATAGGTATGATGGATGATAATTCGATAAATGATGATATATGTATGTATATATATATATATATATATATATATATATATATATATATATATATATATATAATATATATATATATATATATATATGAATGAAAACTCACACCCCAGAAGTGACTCGAACCCATACTCCCAGAAGCAACGCAACTGGTAACTACAGGGGCGCCTTAATCCGCTTGACCATCACGGCCGTCAAAAGGAAGTGATAGCCGAGGCTATTTGAGCCACTTCCCCGACGGCAACTCGGATGGTAATCTTGGGCATAGCATTTCACCAAATCACCTCATTCTTTGGGGCACACGTGAGGAACACAAATGCGAACAAGCCTGAATGGTCCCCAGGACTATATGCGAATGAAAACTCACACCCCAGAAGTGACTCGAACCCATACTCCCAGAAGCAACGCAACTGGTAACTACAGGGCGCCTTAATCCGCTTGACCATCACGGCCGTCAAAAGGAAGTGATAGCCGAGGCTATTTGAGCCACTTCCCCGACGGCAACTCGGATGGTCAAGCGGATTAAGGCGCCCTGTAGTTACCAGTTGCGTTGCTTCTGGGAGTATGGGTTCGAGTCACTTCTGGGGTGTGAGTTTTCATTCGCATATAGTCCTGGGGACCATTCAGGCTTGTTTGCATTTGTGTTCCTCACGTGTGCCCCAAAGAATGAGGTGATTTGGTGAAATGCTATGCCCAAGATTACCATCCGAGTTGCCGTCGGGGAAGTGGCTCAAATAGCCTCGGCTATCACTTCCTTTTGACGGCCGTGATGGTCAAGCGGATTAAGGCGCCCTGTAGTTACCAGTTGCGTTGCTTCTGGGAGTATGGGTTCGAGTCACTTCTGGGGTGTGAGTTTTCATTCGCATATAGTCCTGGGGACCATTCAGGCTTGTTCGCATATATATATATATATATATATATATAAATATATATATATATATATATATATATATATATATATATATATATATATATATATATATATATATATATATATATATATATATAATACACACACACAATTACTGAAGTCCAAATTCATTAACCCAGCATCCTAATATACTACAATAATAATATAGCACAGCACATACGTTGTTAAATATACCGCATATTCCACGATATTTACTGTATCATTTAACACCTCGGGGCGAGTTTAGTGATAATTCTGGCAAAATTTGATGTCTGATTGATGATTATGGGTCTAACGTGTTATATTCAGGTTAATATTTTAGGCATGAAATGGCTGCCAAAATGGTAATAATTGTCGGGGTATATTTGTGGAGCGAGACAATGCAATCAGCAGATATACTGTAATGATTCAAAAATTTAATTTAACATGTTTTAATAACACAGTCTCTTTGTGGCAGAAAGTCTACACGTACTACGATTTTCACGACAGGTATGTAGTGATTTTCATGACAGGTGTTTATAGTAATTTTCTCGACAGGTGTAAAGTGATTTTCACGACAGGTATATAAACAGTGATTTCATACAGCCAAACATAAAAGCAGAGAGCCCGAGACTGTTGCCACAAAAAATGAGCTCTTGCTCTTCATAGGGGGTGCAGAAAGAGTTCAATTTCTTTGTCGTATCTGATTGTAATGGTGTGGATGGTGAAGGTGGTTCGCAGAACTAATTCGTCCAGCGCATTTGATGACCACTCGTACCGGAAGCGGTTCATCAGCCGGGTTGTAGCGAATATATATATGTATATGGTCGTTCGAAGCAACAGCCTTGACAGATCAAGTAATCACTAAACAGGCCTAACCCGACGCAAGCCGGACTTGGGGAAGTTGAACTCTCGAAATGAACTACAGGTAAACAACAGGTAATTTATATATGGTGGCAGGCAGATAAAATATACCTTTATCAATCTTCCCTTAGAACGAAAATGATTGGCTTGTTATAATTATATATTTAGTTAAGTTCGCTAAGTTAATAACAATTATAAAGCACATAAAGTTATTATTAGTTAAAATAAAGTTACTATTGAATATAATAAGGTAAAGGCGCCAGTGTAACACACAGAGCAACACACAGAACAACACACACACACAATCAACAGGAACCTGTACACCTGTTGATTGACGGCTGAGAGGCGGGACCAAGGAGCCGAAGTTCCACCCCCCAGCAAATACAACTAGGTGAGTATACACCGCTGAGGTGAAGGGCTCCATTGACCGCCAGTTAGAAAAAGAGTTTACCGTGACTGCCAGATACAATCAGATCAGAAAAGGTTATAACCAGTAAACTCAGCAGACTCGGGGTTAAAGTTGTCTCTGCTTTCTAATTCAGGAATTCTTGTCTTTAAACGCATTTAGAATTAGAGAATTAGAAACTTGATTCAAACGCCTCTCGGGTATCTCTTAAGAGCGGAATTTAATCTATAACAGGGAAGGTTGGATATGAGAGGGGAAGGGAGATATGAGAGGGGAAGGGAGATATGAGAGGGGAAGGGAGATATGAGAGGGGAAGGTAGATATGAGAGGGGAAGGTAGATATGAGAGGGGAAGGTAGATAGGAGAGAGGAAGGTAGTTAGGAGAGGGGAGGCAGCGAGGTCTGTCCCTGAATTCCAAGGGATGGGATATGAAGCGAGACTGAAAGAACTACACCTGATGACGATAAAAATGAAGTTTCTGCCCGAAACACTGCACGTACTAGTGGCTTTACAAGATTGCAATTACTATACTTTGTATCCTTACAATCCCAATGTACCTTCTTGTATATATATAAATAAATAAATAAATAAATAAAGAGATGGGGAGGGAAGACATGATAGAGATGTATAAAATATTTAGGCGGGATAGACAGAGTGGAAAAGAAGAGGAAATGTTCACAATGAACACTAGTAGAACTAGAGAGAATGAATGGAAGCTGTAGGTTCAAATAAGTCATAGAGATGTTAAAAAGTTTTCATTTTTTAGCTTAAGTGTAGTGGGAAAATGGATTGAACTAAAGAAGCAGGCTGTAGAAACAATCCCTATTCTTAATTTTAAAAGCAGAAACGATAGAGAAATAGATCAAGAGTCATTTCACTAGTCAACCCGAGTCTGGTAAAGCGGCCTCCTAGAGTACATGCTCGATAATGCAGGTACAAATAGGTGGGTTAGTACACACACACACACACACACACACACACACACACACACACACACACACACACACACACACACACTCACACACTCACACACACACACACTCACACACACACACACACACACACACACACACACACACACACACACACACACACACACACACACACACACACACACACACACACACTAAACACTCACTAATAAGAGCCATTCACCAGGTCCCACGACGATAAAATGCAAAAGGCCGGAATTTTATTACCTCACACAGGGCTAAAGTCGAGCTGAGAGGAAACAGCTGCCATGGATCAATACGGGTCACAGCAGAGTGCATGACGGGTGGATCAGAGTGCATGAGAGGGGGGATCAGAGTGCATGAGAGGGGGGGATCAGAGTGCATGAGAGGGGGGATCAGAGTGCATGAGAGAGGGGGGATCAGAGTGCATGAGAGGGGGGGGGATCAGAATGCATGAGAGGGGAAATCAGAGTGCATGACGGGTGGATCAGAGTGCATGAGAGGGGGGGGATCAGAGTGCATAAGGATGAGTCTGAGTGTATGATGGGCGAGTCAGCACGGCAGAATATATCAAGGTAAATTAGAGTTCTAATCAGAATAAACTAGTTCCAATCATACAAATTAGAGTTCTAATCAGGATAACCAATCCCGTTATCAACAGCACCCGTGTTTTTGTTGAGTGTTTTTGTTTACCTGTGTTTTTGTTCACGCTTGTTTTTGTTCGTTTGTTGGCTTAAAAATACGCGTGTTTATAGCATTTAAATGTTTTTTTTATCCATCGGCATTTTCCAAACAGTAAATAAGTTGAGCATTTGGAGGTAGAGGCTCAGGAGCATTTGGAGGTAGAGGCTCAGGAACATTTGGAGGTAGAGGCTCAGGAGCATTTGGAGGTAGAGGCTCAGGAGCATTTGGAGGTAGAGGCTCAGGAACATTTGGAGGTAGAGGCTCAGGAGCATTTGGAGGTAGAGGCTCAGGAGCATTTGGAGGTAGAGGCTCAGGAGCATTTGGAGGTAGAGGCTCAGGAACATTTGGAGGTAGAGGCTCAGGAACATTTGGAGGTAGAGGCTCAGGAGCATTTGGAGGTAGAGGCTCAGGAACATTTGGAGGTAGAGGCTCAGGAACATTTGGAGGTAGAGGCTCAGGAGCATTTGGAGGTAGAGGCTCAGGAACATTTGGAGGGATAACAGTTCACTGTTCCATCAAATTATTAGCTGACATCTCCAGTCTCACTCATAATGAAAGTGGCAGCTATCACTCCTCCCACCTCTCTCACACTCTGTGTCCGCGGACAGGTAACCTTTCCCACCGTCCTCCCACGTATAGGTGACCTCTGTCTCACCGTCCTCCCTGGAAACACAAACTGAAACTGTCTCCATTTTCCGCTTGTTACAACTTGTAATAAAGTTGTTACATCTTGGCTTAACGTGTTTACAACGTATTAGAACGTTGTTACAACATGATATATTGGTTGTTATAACTTGTTAGGAGGTGTTAAAACTTGTTCGAACGTTGTACCAACGTCGTAGTTTCAGTGTGTGTTTGGCGGGCTATAGGTGACCCCTGTCTAATTGTCTACCCTTGTGGCGGTTTCGGAAAATGGCACAATTCCTCCAGGCTGATCAGCTCAACTGTTATTCCATCCAGCTATTACATCAGCACATTGCATTTGCGACATGTAAGAAGAGCCACACACATATCTGTGGATCATCCAATAAATTCACAAGACTCATAGATGTCACTAATACTCAGCATAGGCTCAGTTAACTATGATCGTCTGAATCACCCATCCATACATCAGTAAATAGTCCCATGAAGCCCCTACTCCTCCCATGAAGCCTTCCCCCACCCTTCAAGCCCACCCTCCCACGTACCTGTTGTTGTTGTTTAAGATTCGCTACCTGGAACAGCAGCACGGGCTATGGCGAGCCCGTAGTTCTATATATAATTTACCCCCACGTACCTTTAAACCCTGCCCATTCAGTCCACCACACGCCCACAACTAGGAAACTCTCCCATGATCCAAACCAACATCAAATCGTTTATATGTTGCCGTGTTCCTTAAGTCAAATAGTTACACACATGACAGGTAATTGGACAATCAGCCGGTTCAACTAAACTGCAGTTTCCCGGGACACTCAAAGTTGCGTATCATAGGGGGCAGCGTTTGTCAAAATCAGTCGTTTATTTGATTTAGAAACTGTAATATTTTGAAACATACAAGAGGGTGCAATTTCAATTATTCGAATGAATTAAACTGCCGTTTTCCTCCGTATATATAAAATTATATAATTCCTATGATATACGCAGTGATTAATTATATATGTGTTTCCTTCGAAGGCTAAAGAGAAGATTTAAAAATAAAAGATCTTATGGGGTAGATATGAGAAATTTATATCTAATCAAGTCATTAATTAGCGTAACATCGTAAGCTATTTGTGATAAAGTAAGCGAACTTATCCAAGTCTTACCGGTCTTAACCTCATCTAACCTAATCAAACAACCTAACCTAACTTACTCTACCTGCCTACTTTAACTTGAGTAAATTCATCTTAGCTTAACCTACCTACCGTACTCTCTCTCTCTCTCTCTCTCTCTCTCTCTCTCTCTCTCTCTCTCTCTCTCTCTCTCTCTCTCTCTCTCTCTCTCTCTCTCTCTCTCTCTCTCTCTCTCTCTCTCTCTCTCTATATATATATATAGTGAAATTTGTGCCTACTTAAACACAGTAGGTGGCCATGGCTTTTTAAGTAGTTGGGTAGTTAACTATATATATAAGAACCCTTTATAAGGACAAAGAACTCGGGTTGTAATCCTCAAACTACAACCTTTCACTATTTCAAATAATGTTTAGAAAAATATGGGAAAGGGGTGACTACAGGAACGAATATAAACCTTCATTCGAGGGGTCGACCTTCAATGTCCCCCTCGAATGAGTTTTTATTGTTTCCCTCGAGGCTGTGTCGCCACATGACACCCAGGTGGTGGTACTCTTCATTACTTTATATGTACTAAAAGAGGTACCTGGTGGTACCTGGGTCTGTGTCTCACTCGTCAAACTCCTATTTACTCTCTCTCTCTCTCTCTCTCTCTCTCTCTCTCTCTCTCTCTCTCTCTCTCTCTCTCTCTCTCTCTCTCTCTCTCTCTCTCTCTCTCTCTCTCTCTCTCATCATTATGTATTATGTATGTCACTATGTACCATGTATCACCCTATAACAGTATGTATCACAACCAGTGGCATAGGGTTGGGACACAGGATCACAGTTGACTCCAGAGGTCAGTGTTAGTGTGTAGTGATGGCTGGGTGTGAGAGCAGTGATGTGGTGTGTATCGAGGGACTGGTGGCAGAGAACTGGGATTGATGACGTCGTAAACATGTATATTTACATATTACGGCCAAAGTATGATAAATAGAATCATTCTGATAATGTTGTGGATATTATTATGTAACGTTTTACTAGTTACCAAGAATATTTTTTTTAATATATATTTTTTAAGAACATTTTCAAGGTCATGATTATCTGAGTCACTGAGAAGTTCATAGGCGTCCTTGATTAGTACCGACCCCGAACCGGTCATGTTGGGCACATACCCAGCACAATTTACATGAAAACACTGAGTGAGACTAACCTTAGCATCTGGCCTACAGCCTCGAAGACAAAGAGAAACATTTCCATTTGTATATACTTATATGTGTTGGTTCATATGTATTTGATATATGTGGTTTAAGTGCTCAGGGATGAGAGTCTTCAACGGGGTTGGATACGGTGTCCCTACACAAGAGGTTGTATGCAATCAGGTCACACATTAAAATAAAAAAAATCAAGGGAGCTGTTGAACAATTCCTTAAAAGATGTCCTTGGAAAAAAATGGAAGAAATAGGAAGGAAGTGCATATAATGAACAAACAATACAGGACACCACCTTCCTAAACGGAGCTGTACAACCTCCACCTGGAGAGGAGTAAAGTAAGGCATTTTATTAGAAGGAATCAGTCAAGGTGTATATAGCACTTAGAGGGATACGAGGACGAAGGAGCTAGGATAAGACACAAAGGGGGAGAAGGATTAGAAACATATTAGAGGGAACATCCTAGAAATAGACGATAATACTAGCCATTGTGTAAACTCTTCCCCGGCAGGATCATGGGGGAGACTAAAAGGCCCTGTTAATTTAAATATAAATTTTGCCCCCCGAGGGGCGAGTTTATTGGGCAGCGCCACTCATCCTCATCAGGGAGCCGGTCGGCCGAGCGGACAGCACACTGGACTTGTGATCCTGTGGTCCTGGGTTCGATCCCGGGCGCCGGCGAGAAACAATGGGCAGAGTTTCTTTCACCCTATGCCCCTGTTACCTAGCAGTAAAATAGGTACCTGGGTGTTAGTCAGCTGTCACGGGCTGCTTCCTGGGGGTGGAGGCCTGGTCGAGGACCGGGTCGCGGGGACACTAAAAAGCCCCGAAATCATCTCAAGATAACCTCAAGATAAGGATCCTGTGAGTGGACACACCGCCATAGCAGCATGTACCACACTCCCCAATAGGAAGAAAACCCAAATATTCTGATCCAAAGAGGGTCTCGTGAACACACAATCCAGGGAACATTCATCTATGAGAAACTACAGCTCCTACTAGTTTGTACTGTAAGGTTCCTTCTCCACTCACAAATCGGGAATCCAGGATTCGAATCCCGCGCGAGACAGAAATGGTTTTATAACATTTCTCATCACCTAATGTCTCTGTTCACCTAGCAATTAAACGGATACGCATGAGTTAAGTTATCTGTTGTGGTGTTTCATTCTGTTGAGAGTCAGTAGTTCCATTCTGGGGTGACATCCAAATAAGCCAAATGTATATATAAGTATATATATATATATATATATATATATATATATATATATATATATATATATATATATACACACTTCCTGTTACTGACAAAAATTAATGATTATAATCCCGTCAGTTCCTCAGTAGAAATGCCGAGCGCGTCTTATTCTGAGTGCTCTTAAAAGAGTGCTCTTCACTAGCGTCTTGTCAAAGAAAGAAAGTTCCACTCTTAGTGGCTTCAAGTACCTCACGTCGGAGGGGTTGAGGGAGGGGAGGGAGGGTGAAAGGGACTAGCTTGATGGAAAAAATAGTACTTTTCATGCCAACTTCATTGGAATAAAAGAACATAAATCAGCATTTTAGGAGCCTTCTGACACGACTCAAAAACTTCAAACATAAATACATAGATACACAGAGTCTGCCCTACATAAAGTGGTCGATGTGTCTTTTTACATAGTGGTTAGATTAGCATTTTAAAAGAACTACAATCACCTGTGGTTGATTGTTCAATAAATCCCTGAACTGTATGTTTAACAAATTTCTAACCCTGTCCATAGAGGACAGAAGAGAATGTATATATGCTAGTTAGCATTTTAAATGTGTGGCCACGTCTGTGGTAGAAAATTATAATAAAAAAAAATGACTCAAAAGTCTAGATTTCCACTCTAGAGGCATCCAATTTTAACACAAGTGGCACTACTACGGTGAGAGTACCAGCATCAGTCTAACTTGTTTGTAGCCTTTATGAAAGTCTATGAACACTTCCCAAAGTCTGATATAACACTGCACCTGCAACTTTAGCCGCCCAGACTGGCGCCAGGGAGGCTGGCTGGCCGATGCCCCCTTAGGATTCTCGGGCCCAGAACTCTGGCCCACGAATACCCCAACATTGGCCCACGAATACGTCAACAAATTGGTCATATACCAATTCAAAAATACACACATTATACCTACCCAATGCCCCAAATGCTAGTAGCTCATCCTATTATACTTCTGTATCAGTGTACCAGTGTTCGGCTGCATTATGCCTAACAGTACCCGTATCCCCATTGTGTTGCACTGCCTGCCCGTCTGCAACTGCTCAGGTCTGCAACTGCTCAGGTCTGCAACTGCTCAGGTCTGCAACTGCTCAGGTCTGCAACTGCTCAGGTCTGCAACTGCTCAGTGGGTTATTGCCGTCCTCGGTGCATTGCCCGCATGGCTGAGGGTCAACAAGTGAGACCACATGACATCACCAGGCTGTGAGGACCCAGACCAAATCCCCAATTGAGTGTCCGCGACGCTCTGTTTAACACTAGCATTAAATAAATTGCTGTATGTACCTAAGAAGCCGGTCGGCCG